AAATGGAACCGAAACTAAAAAACTCAAACCAAAACCAAAACTACTGGTTTAGTTCCGATTTTGGTGGTTGAAAACTAAACCAAACTGAATTAGATATAATTAATATTTTTTATTTATTTATGTTTGGTTATTCATTTTTCAAGCTCAATTCCAAAACAACTATTAACTTAATTTTTCTTCATTTTCGCTCCAATTTTTAAGTTTAATAAATTAAAATTAAAAATTAAAAAAAAATCACCCTGAAAAACCCAACCAAAATAATTCAAGTTTCCCTTTACAAAGTGCAAAAACCAAATAGAATCGTGATGTCAGTTTGGCTTTTTGTTTTGGCTAAAAATCAAACCGAAATGAACTGAACACACCCCTACTTATAAGTGCCCTATTTGAAGATGATGACCATATATATTGCACGCATATACTGTCATGGTAGTTGTGCGTACCATGTAAATCACAGTTTTGGAATATCCTAGCACGCATTGGTACACACTAGGATTCTTGGTTGTTGAATTCCTACTAGATTATTGACCGCACATCCAACCATCCATTACTTTGGTGTATGCTATAAACCTAAGCATATGATAATTTTCACACAATTTGATACCTATGAAAAAATAATTTATACGAAAAAAATTATAAACTTATGCAATTTCAACTTGTGATTTGTAGGTAAGTAAGACTGGCTACTTCCAAAGAAAGATGCCAAGTATATTCCTTTCAACAATGCTATATATTTTCTAAACGCATCACATAACCCAGTTTTTATGATATTTTCCATCTTACGTCTATTTAATCTCTGTGTAAAATATAACTTTCATGTCAAATTTCACATCAGATTGTATCAGTATGTGGTTGTCTCCATTACATGATCAATGGGATGGACACAACTATGTTTCTCATTACATTAAATACGTCTTGAGCGTCTTTAACTATCATAATTTAAAGGCATATTTGTTGATTTACCCCCTGAACTTGTATGAAGTTGCCAATTTCCCCCTTGAACTATAATTTTAGCCGATCACCCCCTTGAACTTTTATAAATAGCCAATTTCCCCTGGTGTTAGGTTTTAAAAATTTTCATCCAATTGTCCATCCATCTTGATCACGGAAACAACACATGACAATTGTATGAGGGCAAAAATGATGAAAAATTGGATGGATGAAAAACTGAATGAATTTTTTTTTAAAATCTAACGTTAGGGGGGAATTGGCTATTTATAAAAGTTCAAGGGGGTAATTGGCTAAAATTCAAGTTCAAGGGGGGAAATTGGCTAATTAAAAAAGTTCAAGGGGGTTATCGGCTAAAATTAAAGTCTAGGGGAAAATTGGCCGCTGCATACAAGTTTAGGGGGCAAATCAACAAATACCTCTAATTTAAAAGGGCATGTTGGTGTAGCGACTAGTATCAAGCGCCTTTTCATTCAAAAACCTTTTTTTTTGGTTCAAAAAATAGATAAGATGTTAGATTAGTCACCGATGGTGTTGATGCAAATTTTTGCCGTCTTCAGTCTCAACGAAAATGCACCTGCAAAACAATTAACACTTTTGATCAAGGACCTAAGCCTCACACACCCACGAGGTGGGGAGGGGGGTTAGGCTAATGAATCTCCGATGTCTAAGTCAGTTTCTTTGAGAGAGTAAAGTGTCTAAGGCTTTTTAGGAATGGCAAAAGCTTCTGAAATTTGGTAGAATATGAGGTATTTATAGGAGATAGGGCTGGCCATAGTGTTAGGGTACACATGGCGGCATCCTATTGACTAATGTTTATAGAGAAATATTCTCAAGATATTAAATAGGAAATAATATTTTGAGATAATAGAGTAATTATCCCTAATTGATTTAAATTGAGAGTACTTACTTGATTGGAGTCAATCTTCATTTGAGAATGTATTAAAGATAAGATTTTGGTAATTACTCCTTATCTTTAATGCTTTGATTTTTCATTGCTAAGGGCAGGTGAGGTGTGGGTAATCGTATTCAGCTGCTGAGACCTTCAGGGGTGTGAGCTGCGTGTGGGAGTATCTAGGAGCCTGCCCATTTAATGAGGGCAATCTTGTATTTCTTGAGCAAAAGTCCACGTGTCGCCTCTAGAACTTTTGGGATTATTTTTGGCTTCACAGATAGATTTCGAATCCACACCCAGATGTAAGAGCTCAATACCTTTTCATAACTATGGTAAAAGGCTACTTGAGTGAAGTTGGAAATTTATTCGGACAAGGATTGTTTGCCCTCCCACTTCCGGGGCTCTCTCGTGCCCTCTTGTTTTATGTGGTCACGGTTAAGCCATGTCAACATTTTATATTGTTTTTGTTAGAGATAATAAGAAAAAAATGAATAGTAATATAAAATATTGACGTGATTTAACCGTGACCACACACAAACAGAAAGGCATGAGAGGGCATCGGAAGTGGGAGGGCAAACAATCCTTGCCCAGTTTATTCTTTATTTGATTTGGTACTGTCCTTTGGTTTAAGTATATTTCCAACAAATTTGCCTGACCAGTAGTACAAGACTTGGCTTCAAAGGCTAGCTCTAATGCAATAAGTGCATTCAGTCACGATGACGTCCCACAAACTTTCCACAAGGATCACGGGAGCTAGCGTCAGTTACGAGTGAGCGCATCACAAACACACAGCCGTCAATACGCGTGACTGACGCCAAAATGGGTTCTTCAAAGAGTACAATTCATCAGTCAGAAATCAACTCCATTTTCTTAGTCATCAGTAACATTATTTTCTTTTGGCATATTGGGTGCTTGAATAAACAACTTCATTAACTAAGAAGTTCATCAACAGGGTAACAAAATACACACGATATGAAACACAATCTCCAACCGGTCCCAATCTGCAACTTCTTCAGCTTCTAGGATCACTTTTTCAGATGTGGAAAACAGGCGTAACATCAGCCTTAGGGTGCTTTGCTTTGGCATGTTCCCGGCACTTCACCTCTGATGTGGTACATATAAATGTCTACATGCACACCTTGCACTGCATTCGCCAAAATGTATCGTTGTTGCGTGATAACACCAACGACAAAATATATCAAGAGCAAACTAAGTCACAAACTTTGTAATTGAGTTTAAAAACTCATCTCAAACTACAAAGCATTGATATATCATTTAGGTTGCGTATCGCACATCCAGAAAAGTAAATTTGATTAAGCACACACATTAAATCTTAAATGATTAAATCTAATTCATCCCATGAAACTATTCATTACTCTTAACCAAATGGCGTAAAACTAAAACACAATTTCAATGAAATCCTTGTTCCAAACGAAATTTAAGCATCAAAACAATGTAGCTGAAATAATAAATAAAGCAGAAAAATCCATCTAAATTAAAACAATTCAAAGACAAGGATTGCAAAGAGACTACCTGGATGTTCATCGCTTTCTTGTTGGCCTCCAGCTGGCTTCCACAATGAAACATCAACAAAAAAGGAAAACCCAATTGATCAGAAAGTTCAAAATTTGAAATAATCACACTCAGATACAAGACTTTACATGGTAAGTCAAAGAAATGTAAGTGTGATATCAATGTTTTAAACTCATGAGTCCAATATATTAAACTCACGAATCTGATACAATAAATTAAACACACATTAGTCTGGCAATAGTATTATAGGTATCCAACTTAAGCTGCTTAATACTTATATATTAGTATCGCACTCTCTTTCATAATAGGCAAGTTGGTGGTGCAGGTTTGAAGGTACCTTTCCCCGTGGAGGTGGGGATGAGGATTCCCCGTTTAAAAGAACTGATTATGCATGCGGTTATGGAGAAAAAAAAAAATCACCAATGGAGCCGGGGGATGAAGGTCGCACCCCCGTCTCCGTCCCTCCCCATTACCACCCCTAGCGTTATTTAATGTGCTAACTTAAATTACAAAAATTCTACTATACACCGGATTAATCAATGTAATGGATGATTTGATGTTCGTTTGGTTAAAGATTTAATGAATAAAAATCTTAACGGTTAAATATTTTGGTGTATTATACCTTGGTGCATATTAAAATTCCCTCAAAATATAGTGAAGTGATGATGTTCGTCTGATTTCAATTCAGTACCTTGAATGCATGTCGAAATCAAGATCTGACAATTATGATCTCATCGTCACTTGGATTTCAAAGAAGTATGAGTTACGGAATGGGATTTTTGGCTATGATTGGTGTGCACACCTTCTCTCATTGACCTCCTTATATAGTGATCATTCTGAGAAAGGGTTTAACAAACTTGTCATGTTACAGTCGAATTATAGGGTCTAATACCAAACTCAACAGCCTCATGTAACCAATTGTTTTGAAGGGATTGGTTGATGTTTGACTGTTGGTGTGCTGGGCTTCTTGTTAGCATTGCGCTGTTTCCCCTTTTGGGCTGGTCTTGCTGAATCTGTAGTCCTAGACTGTAATTACGCTTTTGACCCAAAAGTAAAACAGGGTAGAAGAGAGGAAAATAGGAGTGAAACCAATAAATGAACAAAATTTAATGGGAAAATTATGGTAATGGTTCTGAATTTTAACTAAATTAAAGTAATGGTTTTTTAACTAAAAATTTATTTGCATAAGTTTTTTAATTTTTTAAAATGTTCAGTTATGATATTTTTCGTTAATTCAGTTATAACTTTTATCAAAATAAGTAATTTGTCACGCACGTAAGACTGAATTGAGGGATAAATATAAAAAACCAAATGAGAAAAATTATAGCTACGATCGCTCAACTTTAATTCAACTCCCTCAATTTTAACCAAATTGGAGTAAATGTCTCTCAACTTTAACCCAGTTGTAACATTAATTCTTCTAACATAACTCATTTTGATAAAATTTATTAACGAAAATGATTATAATTACAATTGAATTAAAATTAAGGATATTGCTCCAATTTTTTTCAAAATTGATAGAAGGAAGAAGACGTGAAAGGCTCAGTTTCTACACTGAACGAGAGACTGTTTCGTCGAATCGAGTTCTGATTGAAGCTTTCAGTCTCACACAAGTCGACAGGTAGAAATTTCGAATAATTTGTCTGAAATTGAAATTGAGAATTACGCATTTTGGGTTTTTTTTTTTCCTTCTAAATTTCTTCTATTATATAATTCAATTCACCATTGCTTAGTTGTATGATTAATTGATTCGAAAAAGGCGCACACTTTTACTCAAAGTACTTATTTTCCCACCAAATCATCTCTAATTGTTTTGCATTTGATTTTTATTTCCTGGGTTTTTTACTCAAAGTACTTATTTACATATCTAATTCAGGCTTAAATTTCGTTTCTTTTGCTGTTTTGGTTTGTGGGTATGATGCAGGTTTTGGGTATTTTTTGTTTTGTAATTTGACATGGCTGAGAGACAAGTGGTAGATCAACAGCACCAAAGTGATGCACAGATGCAATCTCAAATGGCTCCGAGGGGAGACATGGTTTCGTGTGTAATGGCGCTGGAGGCGGCTTTGCTTCCATGCTTGCCTGCCAGAGAGCTTCAAGCGATTGACCGCTCTCCCAACCCGTCTCATCAGAGTCAGTACCAATACCTAGCTCTACAAGTTTTCTGAGGATTTTTTTTATTTTTTTTTAAAGCTGTGTTGATGAAATGTTATCTTTATGGGTGCATTCATGTTCGTTTCGGCTAATTTTTGTTTGTTGATTTCTACATTGATCAACTTGGAGAAAATGAACCTTGTAAGATAGCTGTGTAACGATTTAGAATTGGAGTATCTTGTGTTGGCCCTGGGGGAGAATATCGTATGTATTAAACTGGTTGGCTCACTCGGTTTTGGAGTATCTTGCTTCAGCTTTGGCATGGGAGCGTTTGAGTTATACCGAAACATAGGAGTTGGGTGATTGGAAGAGAAGGGTGGATGGTTTATTCAAATAATTGTGATGCAGGATTTCCAATTGTTTGGTATTTGAAAACTCTCATTTTGTTTAACAACCATAGGTGAAATCACTCTCAGATAACTGAGTGTTAGCCTTCGCTCTTTAGTTCTAAATACCGATATAACTTGAAGATAACATAATATAACTCTGCCCGGAATAAAATTCACTCATGAGTACCATGAGAGCTTCAATTCTGTCTGTTGTGCATATCTTATGATGGAAGAATTAGGTTCAAGAATACTGTCTGTACATGAGATCCTTCTCTTCGATGAAACATTCTGTTCCTTTAATCTTGTATACCCACCTGAAAAAGTCATCTTTTTCATTGGCTACAAAGTTCCATGGATCTTTAATCTTACCTTTGTAACAGGGTTGACGTGACCTGATGCTTGAGATGCAAGTAGTCACATGCATAAGCAGAGTTTTTTTATTCAATCATTTTATCGATCCTTATGACTGTCACTCTCTCTAAATTAGTGAACGAAGGTGAAGCATCTTCTCTGATCCTGGCTTGCACACCGTGCACCAATGTTATTACCTTCTCTTTTGCATTTCGTCTAATGGCGTTTATTTTGCTACTGCTCCAGTTGATGTGGAGCGGCATGCCAGAGACTTTATGGAAGCTGCCAAAAAGCTTCAACTGTACTTTATCAGTCTGCAACGTGAGGATCAGCCAACGAAGGCTGAACAGCTAAGAAAGGTCATCTGAAGGCTGTGTTGTTTAGCTTGTCCTTGGACCACTAATCACTGTTTCCTTAATGTTGGTGCATTTTCATTTTTGCAGGAGATTGATGCAATGGAAGAGGAGTTGAGGATAAAGACCGAGATCATCAAGAAGCATGAAAGTTTGATCCAAGGGTGGAAAAAGGAGCTGAAAGACCAATTGGACAAGCATAACACTGAGCTTGAGAGGGTTTAGTTACTTGAGCAATACAATTATAGTAATCTACGGGATTCCGTTTGTTGGTTGATCAATTTGTAGCATCCGTAAAGATTCTCTGTGTTCTTTTTAAACATCCTGTGCAATTCAACTCTATCGTGTACAAACTAAGATCAGTAAAGATTAAAAATGTTGATTCTACAACCCATTTTGTTGCCAATGGTTCGTGCTTTGCTTCTTATAAAGTTCAAGGGCTTTCAATGAACAGAAAATGAAAATGCCAACAGAACAATCAGAATTAAACTCTATTTTTGCAGGAAGAAAGCATTGCATTGCAAACAATACAATAAGTACAAGAGTTGGAGAACTTACCTTATCAAGTTCTAGTTTCGAAACATGTGGCCTCATGGAGTTTCCTAAGCTTAAACCACCCCATTGTTCTTGCAGTTCTCGGGCCTTTGAATCTTTACGAGTCACAGAGAATTTAATTTGGTCTTCTGGTTGCTGAGCAGCAGCCGCCTTCTCTCTTGGTCTCATGGAGTTTCCTAAGCTTAAACCTCCCCATTGTTCTTGCAGTTCTCTCTCCTTGTTTCTTTGCGATTTACCGACTATCTAATTGGATCTTCTGGTTGCTGACCAGCACCATCCTTTTCTCTTTCGAGCCTTGATTTGTGTTTAACTAGAATTTGGTCCAAACCACATGCTTCGTCTGCACGTGAATGCAATTTTGCGTAACTTCTCTTCACTTCACTTGCTTGTTCCTCTGCACAGAACTTTATCTTCCCGTTCTCCAGTCTGGAAACATGTTTTACCACAACTTTGTCCAATCCCTCGCACTGTGAATCACTGTTTCCCCCCTTTTTCTTTTTGAGTGTACGATATTCATAATTGTTTCCCATTTCCGAGGCTTTCATTTTCTCCCCTTCCAACCTGTGCATTGGTTTGACAAAGATCTTGTCTAAGCCATCTTCAGTCTCTTTAGCTTCAGACGTCAAATTGTGAAGTGAGTTTGTTTCCACTGCACTAGATTTCACTTCTCCAACCTGCAATGAAGATCCAGTTCCATTTTGCTCCATCCTAGAATTCTCTTCAACATCCTTATTTAAATCGATATTTTGTTTCCCCACAGATCCTTCGTCAGAACAAGAACTAGCGTTTTCTTTTGGTTGTGCAACCGAAGCAGATGATTCAACTTTCTTCTTCAACTACGGGAACCTAACTCCTTCATGTGTGTCAGCTTGCCTTCTGTTCTTTGCTTCCCGGACTTCCTTCTCAAGTCTCGAGACAAGTTTCACTAAGAACTTATCAAGGCCGGGGGGTTCTGAGTCATTCTCTTTTTTGTGATTCAAAGCAGATGTTTCCACAAAGTTCATCTTGGTCTCCTCAACTTCCCTTTCAAGCTTTGAAGAATGTTTAATCAGCGTACTTTTCAAGTCAGGGATGGCCTCAGATGATACTTTGTGTCCCTGTGAATTCTTTTGAAGCATCTCAAAATCTCCTCTTGAATTTTTCTTTGCCTCTTCGATCTCTCTCTCAAACTTTGAACCATGCTTCAGAAGGATGCTTCCCAAGCCCGGAATGGTTTCTGAACTGGCCTTCTCATCAACAGTTCTGTCAGAATTTTCTGCAGCTCCTTCCGTTGACTTATTCCTTTTATCCTTGGCTTCTTGCACTTCTCATTCAAATTTAGTCGTGTGCTTAACCAAAAACTTGTCTAGACTTGGGAGTTCTGATGCAGGTTGCTTCTTTCGAATCTCAGACTTAACCACTGCTATTCTTTGTGGAAGGGTCTCAGCAGTAGAGCCTGAATCATGCAGCTTGCTTTCCGCTAAGGCAGCATTTAAACCACAAGTAGCAATTATAGTGGCAAGAGAAGAGAGTTCATCTTCTTGCAAACATTGAAGTCTCTCAAGCATCATGTCCACTATCTTTGCCATATTAAGTTTACCAAAAGACTGCCTTCTGTTTTTCCTCTGTCTCGCCTCTAAATCTGCCATTTTTTTCTGATTCAAATCATTGGAAATGGTATTATCTTTCTGAGACACTGCTTTTAAGTTCTGATCCAGATTCTGATTCACATTCTGAAGTAAACTCAGACGATTCATGATTATTTTCAACTGTATCGGTATCAGGGTTCTCGCTAATCTTCTTAAGCAGTTCTTTAAATTCATCTTTATCAAAAGATGGGCAGTTTCCGAGCCGTACTAGTGCAATCTTTACTGCTGCAGCTACTTCTTTATCAACCTGAAATGCAGCCTCAAAAGATGCTGTGACCGTGTGAGTAGTAGACCCTCCGCCATTAACAATGGATGTTTCTATTTTACAGGGCTTCTGAGGACAATTTGGCTTGTCATACATGATAACTCCCATGGCAGTTGCCTCTTCAAAAGCTTCAGCTTCAGCTTTATCTACTTCCAACAGCTGCGCTTCAGCTTCTTTGCTTTGGATCCTGAAATGAAAAACACAAAAAGTTGTAAGTACGAAATTACCTCTTAAAAGTTCAAATATTCATGTCTACAGTCCACCCAACTATCACCTTGCTGCCTTAAGTATTCGACACCAAGATGCTTCCACCAACGCTGCTTTTCGTGCAGCTTCTTTTGCTGCCATTTTCTCCCTTAGGACTTTTGAGTAATGTGGATTAGAATCGCTTAGAGTCTCGTCGAGAGTTAAATTCATCACATCTACTTCCTGTGAAAAGCCAATAATTAGTAATCTGATTAACATGGAAGTTAATCCAGATAAAATGCGAGTGTTTGTTCAAGAGAGAAGCAAAACCTGCAGCATTTTGATCTTCCTGTTGAGGTAGGAGTCCGCTTTTCTTCTCGGGAACCAGTTCAGCGGAGAGGTTCTACGATGAGAAGGCTTCTTGATTTGTGATGTGGATTTGTTAACAGAATTCAGGGTTGATAGGCTAGCCTCTTTCAAACTTCTAATCTGCAGTTTTGAAAAAAATGAAGAAAAGAGGGATGTAAAGCTAAACAACAGGACTTGGAACAAGATCGCCATTTGGTATCGGAAAAAAGACATAAGAACATCGAAATATACACACAAACACCAATTTGTAAGGCCTACATACTCAAATGTCAAGTTAAATAAACAAATAAACACGTTCAGCATCACAACAATGTAGAGGGATTTACCTGCACGGTAAATCATTTCATCTCTTCACTCTTCAGCCAAATAAATATTTACCTCTTTCTTTACAACATCCATTGTATGATTGTAATGATAAAGATATCTTACCAAGTGCAAGCCATATGAAATTAAGCAAATGATGGTTAGACCTTTGAGTCAAAATAAAAATAAAGCTAAAACTGGACGCCTCGTTTGGTGTCTAGGAATGGCTCGGATAGATTCCATAAATGTTGAATGAAAAAGGGATGCCAACTTGCATGTCTTGTCCGAGCGAAGGTAGAAGATGGATTATCCATGAAGAAATCATATCCCTCCCAATCCCCACACAAAGGTAGGATTAGGACAGAGAAGTTTTCTTCATGGCCAATCCAACCTTCACCTGAACAAAATTTGCAAGTGCACATCCGTTTCTTCACTAAAGATTAAATGAATTTAGTGAATTATCCTGGCTAAGCTAATCGTAGACACATAACCCGTAAATGAATAATTTATTTGTTTTCACTGAGGAAAAAAAACAAGTAAATAGTAGACACACACTCAGAGTCTCAGAAATTAACAAAAAATAACTGGCCGGGGATTAAATTTTGGATTCACTAAAATTCAAACAAACAGCAATTTCTAGGGCTTTTGGAAATTCAATTGGCTTCAATCCCAACAATGAAGATAAAAAACAAAGGGTTTAGGGCTCTAGATCAGTGAAAACCAGAAATTAAAGTACCAAATCAAAACCAAACAATAATATTGCTTGCAGGAGAGGTCCTAGGGTTTCAAATCCAAGCCAATCCAATTGCAAAAACAAACAGAGAATTCGATAAACCGAAACAAAGAATTGGTTCCAAGAAAATGGATCATATCCAAGAGTCTTGAATCTGAACGGAAAGTCGAAAGAATTACACCTTTCCGACCTTGGGGCTGGGGGGACTGGCTCGCCGCCGGCGTTTTCTTTGTTGTCTGTATCAAGCACGGCCTCGTTGGAGCCGTGCTTGTGCGACACGGTGATGCAGCCCAAGTCCAAGCAGCCGAGGTCCATGGCCAATAATCTCCGAGGAGACGAACGGGGATCAAGACTCGGACTCCAAACCGACGAGAATTTCGATAGGGAATTGTAGAATTTGAAAGAAGAATGCGATTAGAAATGGGGAAGATTTTGCTTCAGATGCAATTTTGCAGAGAGAGAGAGAGAGGAGAGGGGTTTATTGTTTTTCAAAGGGGGAAGTGGCCGTTACAGTCTAGGGGCCAACGGTCCTTTTAATATGAAGTTGCCTTATTTGTGCCGTTGAGTGGAGGATACGCGGGAAATCACTCTAATCTCAACATCTTATAGTTTTAAAAGAGTGCTACGTTGTATTTTTTAAATATAAAGGATCAAATTATAGTGTTTAAAAGTATAAACATCTACCTTTGTGGTTTTTTTGGGTGGGATGATGGAACATGAACATGATTCCTATGTCTTGCCAATATTTATAAGGAAACTCAAAATTTCGATTTTTCACCAAGAACTCACGATTCAAAGTACCATTTTACATTTTGGCCTTTTCATTATTTAGCTGTAAAGCTACACAAAAATCCTTCTACAAGTGACATGGTTTTCAAGGCATCCGGCAGTTCAAGCAGCACCCGATCATCGACCTGTACATCCAAGACCAATTGTAGTGCTACTGCAAGAACCTGGTTCATTGTCCAGCACTGACTACACTATGGACTGACGTAATCACCAGTTCCGGAAACAACTCTTAATCCATATCTTCTTGGTTTCTAATCCACTTTGTTGCAACCCACTTTTACCCTTTGCTTACAGGACAGCTTCCGTGAAGAGATGTCTGCAATTTGTTTACACATTCGAGATGAGGAGAATAAACCACGAAAGATAAGCACCACAAGACTCTTTGTTTAATCACCGGTAAGAGCGTGAGAAAGAAAGAGAACCAAAATGACCGTTCCAATTTTCAAGCCCTCAATAGTTGTTGATCCTCTGTATACGGACAACTTCCTCAAATAATATGTATGCCAAAGGAAATGGAAACATGTTTCCCATCCCACTTCACATCATTCACATAATTCACAAA